GGTCTCAATAACGTCCGCAGTAACAATGCACATAGGGCGCGCCGCACATTTTGAAGGAAAAAAAAAGACGTTTATATGCGCCTTATAGTCGTGAAAATACGGTAATCAATTTTCTTATCACTTTATAATTTCTTACAACTCTTATAATCGTGTTCCTCGCTGTAAAAGGTAAAGTAGGAAGAGAACATCAGGCTCACCTTATATCTGAAGAAACTTCTTCACAATGCAGACTGGATGTCCCGCTGTCTCGATCATCTTCAGTCTTCAGATCCAACATAAACATGCATTCAGAAACAAATATTCAAATCTAATCCACAAACCTTTTTATTCTAGGTTAAAATAAGATATAATAATCTGTTCTAGATAATTTCTTACGTCTAATGTTTCACCGCCCATGATCTCATGATGCACCAGCCTTGCAGCTTCCTCCCTGGCATCCTTCTTTGTCCTCCCATAAGCAACAGGATACTCCTTATCTCCCACCACAAACCTACAACCCCTGATAATACCAGTGGATACGAGTTAATATAAACCGAACCCGTGCAACTGAATTGACAGCTTTAAATTTAGCTGGGAGATGTGAGGAGACCTACTGAGTTAAAGTATTTTGTCCAGGTGTGATGCTTTCCACAGCTCTTATGACAACCCTATTAGTCTGTCCATATTCATTCAGCCAACACATGTAATTAGTTTTCAGCTGCATATGAGCAGGAGGAGCTTCTTCAATGCTGCCTCTCTGCCAGAATGAAAAATAAACAAAATGTATTACAATTTGAGATCAGTGCAAAAGCAGTGCAGGAAAATAAAAGGTTCTTACGGAAACTGAAGGTTCTTCCAACAAGCACTGCAAGGCATTTTTAGCAGCATTCTGTTTGGCTTCTTTCTTGTTCTTCCCGACTCCTTCAGGGTAAGCCTTTCCATTCACAACAGCTTTTAAACTGAACCTGCAAAGGAATCAAAATGACTTCATTAGTTGCATTTAAAATGCCATCCAGATTTGGTTTTGAAAACTCCTACATCCAACGCCACTGTCGCCCCAAATTTGTGACAAATCAACACAACGCGGTCCATTGCTGTAAAATAGAAGGAAAGAATTTGAGTATTTTTCAAGGCCCCCTTTTGTGACGTGGATACTGATGGCTGTGCTGCTGAGCTGTTGATCTCTGCAGATCCTCCAGAGTCACCATGAACCTCTTGGATGTCCTTAATTTGGGAGCCAATCCTTTCCTACTCTCAAATAATGTATAAAGCACCGATCAGTGAGATGCTAAAAGCTTGGAATTTTATTTCTTATAACCTTCACCCTCCATTGCTCTCTCCCTAAACTCTGTGCAGTTTTCCTCAGCTTAGGACATTCTAGACAGGGGCCAACAGGGGCCAGAACTAGCCCTAACCCCCTATTACGGCCCCACTATAAAATACATTCAGACGGTCTGTTTTTTTATATACCACACCTTAGATGCTCAAAGCGCTTTGGCTCAATTAAAGGTACAGTGGGGGATTTTCGTACATTTTTGAGAAGACTGCCCTCTTCACTTAAAAAAAAAAAAAATGCAAATCAGAATCAGAATCAGAAATACTTTAATAATCCCAGAGGGAAATTACTTTTGTTACACGCTCCAGTTACAGTTTTATATAATATATACACACATCCAACTATACAATTGAATAAAGATAAAAAAAATAAGAATAAAAATAAAAAATAAAATGAGATAAAATATATACACATATAGCTCTTCTGTATATATATCTGTACTTATATCTATGCATATGTAAAAATTTTATCCAAATAAAGTGAAAATCCAAGTAAAGTGATAAATCCAAGTAAAGTGATACGTGGCGTGCAAAAATAGTGCATAAATGTCAATTATGGGGGGGGCTGAATCACATGCACAACCCTGTGCCTGCTCCTGCGTTAGAGAGCGTGCATGAGCCCAATTCTCCTCGTGCACGCTCCTTTTAAAAGTTGATGTTTGCATCGCTCAAACAAGCTTACTTACTAAAAGAAGATTGGCAATTTTTCCACTATGTCAGACTCACCACCGGTAAGTCAAAATGGGGACGAGCATGCAGGAAAATTAGGAGGACCACTTATTTTGATGATCCACCTGAAAAAAAAACATCCTCCACTATACCTTTAATATTTAAAATAATGGACTATTGCCTTTTTTGTTTTGGCTGTCTTTGTTTTTTTTTTTGTTTTTTTGTTTTTTATTATGTTGTTCAGTGCCACCGTGATAAAATACTGGCCCCATCTTGGTCCCCCTGGTAAAGTGGGTCTGGAAACACCCCTCAGAGACGTAGCCAGAATTTTTTTTTTATAAGGGTGGCCAGGCAATAACCAATGTATACTGAGGGGTGGGCAAATGTGGATAGGCACCAGAACCTCAAGGTCAATCTACACTGTTCCAACAGGAACAAGCACAACATCCATATTTCTAAATAAAGACAAACTATAGTTCCCTACAGCCTTTGCCAGCAAATAGATGCATATATTTAAACATCCGTCTAGATAAAAGCTGTATTGGATAAAATTCTTTGAAGTTTGAGTTCCATCTTCATTACTTACCTACTTTTATCAATATCATTCTACATTAAATTGATATTTACAAGTGCTAATATCTATATAAATTGACAATTTAATAGGTTTTTATTAAAATAGTTATTTACAGTATCTAGAATTTCACTGAAGACTCTTGGATGACCTGCAGAGACACATCATTTTCTCTTTAAGGCATATAACACAACATCTAGTTCTGAAAGAGCATGAATTCTGTACTAATCATCTCTAATGTTGGTATATTGATGTGCATAATTAACCTTATTAACCATAATTAATTCTACTTGACAGAAAAAAAATGGGGGTTGCCACAGGGATGGTCCAAGATTAGCTAGGGGTGGCCATGGCCGCCCCTGTCCTTTATTCTCACTCATGGCCGGTTCTAGACGGGCCAACAGGGGCCAGTTCCCCCTTAGACCTATCCTGGCCCCTGTTATGGCCCCTGTACTGAGGACATAATATTCAAAGAAATTCTAATGATGATCTGCACTGGAACAGACATGGTTACTGATAGGACCTATCAGTAACTATGTCTGTTCCAATTTCATTTTCTTTTTCTTTACAAATTATGTTTTACTAATTATTTAAAAACAGTAAGGTGATAGCTTCAGTGGTATTGAGATCGGATCCCAGCTAAGTTTTTTTTAATAAAAAAAAAGCTGAATTTATCAGTTTTTTTTCTAATTCAGATTTTATAGAAAACTGTATTTTTTGTTTAAATTAAGTCAAAAAATATGTACAATTCCTAAATTATTAATATATATTGATCTAATAAGACATTTTTTTTATTAAATCTAATTGATTAGAAATTTCCCTTCATGCTGTTATATTGATATATTTGATTCCCTAGCCCTGATTTTTTTATTTATTTATTTCATGCTTTTCTGTGCCCCCATGAAAACAGGCTGCCCCCCTCCTGGCCCCCTGGTACATTTGGTCTAGAACCGCCACTGTTCTCATTGTTGATCTTCACCAAACATCAGGCCTTCACTGAAACTGTGAATTAGATTAAAGAAAATGTGGCTTTTTTCAGTTATCAAGTGAATTCAGGGGTAATTGGGTGCACCAACTTTTTATTTTAGGTATCAGGGTAAAGAGGGCTGAATAAAAATGCACTGCAAATAAAATCATACACCACGTCAGACCTATTTTACTTTACACTAAAAATGCTTGGCATTGATTGCCAGAATCCGTAGAAAGTGCTGCTGTGATAATAAGCCTGGAAGTAGAAAGAAAGCCAAACCCGACAGTTTGTATCAACTCACGTCTTGATGTGGTCAGGACCAACAGATCCAACTTCCTCATACTTCAGCAGCAGCCGCTCTTTCTGAGCATATTCGTTCAGTCTTGCTACATAATTTGCAGAATCCATTTTGAATGAGTTTATGAAGGGAAATATAATAAAGAAATAAACCGTGACGCTCTCCTAGTTTCATGGTAGCGCTGCGTCCACGGCTGAGGGAGGCGTAAGTTTCGATTTCATCAGAAACGTCACCCGTGGTGCTTTCACGGACAGTCGGAAAATCCTCTGCAACAGTGTTGATTAGTCTTTATTGTTGTAATTTAACCCCTTTAAGCTCAGAGAGCTTTTGAACAGTGACGGTTCTAGACCAAAAATGTACCAGGGGGGCAGGAGGGGGCCAGCGTGTTTTAATGGGGGCACAAGAAAAACTGATAAATTCAGCTGTAAAAAACATTTAGCAGATCAAAACTGGGATTCCGCTGAAGGTATCACCTTATTCATTTTAAATATTTGGTAAAACTGAATTTGTAAAGAAAAAAAAAATTAATCCAAATGACCTATCAGTAACCATGTCTGTTCCAGTGCAGATCACCATTAGAATTTCTTTGAGTATTATGCCGTCAGTACAGGGGTCATAACAGGGGCCAGGACATGACCTACAGGGGCACTGACCCCCATTGGCCCCTGTCTAGAATCACCCATGTTTTTGAAGCAAATTCCGCCTGATATTACATTTCTGATTAAATTTAAGTACAGCTCCAAAGTTATAAAGAGGACATTTAAATATGTATATATACCGGTATGTATATTTGTATGACAAAAAGGCATTAAAGTCAATTTTTCAGGTGGGACCACTTTTGCATTTTTCATTTATATAGAAGACCAACCCTGCCATAATGAAAAATAAATACAGAAATAAATAAATGCTCCAAAAATAAATAAGCATACAATTAGTTGCCTCCCAAATATACAATAAACAAATAAATGTAGTACAAATTAAAGTATACAATGAGACATAAATATGTATATCTCTTTTAATTACCATCTTTGTTTATTTGCTTTGTAATATTACCTTATTTATTTATTGTCCGTTTTATTCTTCAGCTTTATTTAGGTAATAAAAAACCTTACTTAAAAGTAAAAACTACAGAACAAGAATTAACTATTTCCAAGATTTCCTATTTTTTTGTTAGTCAAGTAAATGTAATCAAGAAAATGTATCTAGTTATTATCCATGTTTTTTTTTTTTTAATCACCATTACCCCTTTTAAATGCAATGTTTTCTATTTTGTAAATTATGAGCACTGAACCCACACAATTTAAATAAAATAATGATATAAAAAGATTCTGTAGGGCTTTTCTAAAGTTCCAGTTGAAGAGGTTGACAGGATGTGTAGTTAAGAAATACAAGCAAATATTAGTTTAATAAAGTTACAAGCAATGAAAAAAAGTCCTCGATAATGAGAAATTTAATGAAACATCCAGTATAACGATCTCGAACACAATGAATCACTGAAGCAGAGACATTTTTATTTCCCAGATAAACTACAGTCTTTTTTCAAGTACCTTAAATTCAGCAATAATTGTTCACCAGGTTTAAATCAAAACTCCATGAGATTTTTAAAAAGATGTTTTATTATAACCGGGAGATTTTACATGACGGTAAAAAAGGATCCGTTCATAAAATGTCTAAAAAAGAAAATGAAACACTAGACCATAGACACAGATTTAAACGATTAATGAAGCTGACTGAAATTGTTAGGGAAGTATTGTTTGACAAATTGCTCAACTAAGGTCTCTGGATCCAAACATACACTTTTCTTTCAATGCAGGTATTTAAATAAACATTTTTGATTAAGATCATTCGTGGTCAGCTGCTGTATCTCCTGGACAATTAGAGCTGAGATCCTCTTCATCTGCAGAGAGAATGCAAACATTGGCAAATGACCATAAAACATATATAAAACTACATGAATGATGTCACCACCCTTACCATTATAAGTGGTTCCACACCATATGCAGTAAAAATGGACTCCTCGTAAGTAGGATGTAAGGATTTGCAATTTATCAAAAGACTGTAAGAAAGAAATATTGAATATGGTTTAACAGAACAATTTTACAAAAAACAGACAAATGGATTTGGGCCAAACCTCCATTTGATAACTTAAAATACTCGTATGTATTAATTATATTATTTGTAACTTGTAATTTTGGTGAGTATGATACATCTTTAAATAAATACTTACATTAAGTTCTGTAATTTCTTCCTCTTCATCCTCTTCTTCAGCAGAATCTTCCTCGTTGTCTTCATCAACTTTGGGCCAATACCAGGGTTCTCTGGGAACAGTTATTCCCTAAGAAACACAAAATAAACTCAGTTTAGAAGCAAATAAAAGCAACTTTATAAAATCATTGAGCTTATGCCCTCAAGGTAAAATGTTGCTAAGATATTTCTTCTGTTTATTCCCTTTGATCTGTTTCACATTTTCTACCCTCAGCTGATGCGAGGGGGGCGGCTCATGTATAAAGCATGTCTGCATATAAAAAAAACATCTGGCGCAATGTTTAATATAAACCTTGGGATGTATAACAGTAAATCTTGTATAAAAAGGTGCAGGACATTGAAGCAAACTTTTGATATTCTGTGAGATTTTGCAGCAGGGAAGCAAAGCTTTTGAAACTTGAACGATGAATCTGAATCACACTGATCCTAATAAAACATAGCAACAAAGCTAAAAATAATAACAGCCTCAGTGTATGGAAACTGTAAATATTGCTGCGTATAGATCATGGACATGTGCATTGGTCTGTATGCCGAGACAATAAAATCAACACTTATTTTTTAAAGAGATACTTTTATTTTAACAGGAGAAAAAGGTGGCGAATCATTAGATTCATTCCAGATTAATGATTAATCAGGCGGAAAAGTTGTACTCGCCAGTGGAAGAGTACTGGGGGAGGCGTTCAGACATCCTGCCGCCCAGCTGGTACATGATGATGAACCTTTATCTAATTTAGATTGTCAATCGCAAAGAACGGCACTGAGGAACCGTGTGTCTCATCTGGAGCTCTAGATCAGTGCAACAGGGTTTTTTTTTAAAAGCTGCTGTCTGGTATCTAACAGTGAGCCGAGCAATGACAGCCACATCCGAATGTTATAGGATATAAAATTCCTTGGAAATGTACTAATATGGACACGCATCAAATCGCAGTGTGAAAGGAGAGGTCAGTTTCCGAACGGAAACAAAGCAAAACTGAGGTCCTATTGCTATAAGGCAGGATCTGTAAATTAAATAGAAATCATTCTCAGTACAAAGCTCTGCAAGTAATATTTCTAAATAATAGTCACATTTAGAACGGACACCACGCTGGCTCCTTACACAAACGCTGGCTTCTATGGGTTTCCATCTTGTTTTCTTTTTACAATATATTTATAAACCTTAATTGCAGCCTTCTCTTCTTGTTTGTGTGGTCACCTTATTCCTAACTGAAACTTTGAGGTGTCATATTCACTTAATCAGACATTACAATTATCTGCTTTAAGCAATAATAGAGGTGAATTAGATTAGATTAGATGAGCTTTATTGATCTCACAGCAGAGAAATTCACTGGTCACATATTGGTATAGTAATTAATAGGGATGCACGATATAATCGGCCCCCTATCGGTATCGGCCTGTATCGGCCTTAAAACTGAATATCAGACATCGGCCACCCCACCGATATTT